CGTTCTTCCTTCGCAAAGTTATTTTCCGCAATTTTCTTGATTCATTTGTTGTTGATGCGCGCGGCGCTAGATTGGTCAAATAAATTGTTTATTTTTACCATGCGCGAATCTCACTCATTTATTAAAAACATAATATATAAATATGTTGCACTTTTTTCCAGTCACACTTTTCACTCGAAAGAATTAATGGTACAAAATACAAGTTTGTCGTAGTGAAAATTAATCGTGCGTGGTTTAACCGCGGCGAAATTATTGTTATAGCAGGCCATTTATGCACTTTAAACATTTACAATTTGGTTCAGTACATAGCCATGTGTAAACGCGTACTGCGTGATGCGCTTGTTTCACAAGTAGAATATACTCTTTGCCGCCTTCGGCGGTCGCGCGCTACTGCAAGCGAGAGGGCTCTAGTTAGAGCAAACATGACAATTTGGCATCCTTTCCAGGTTGTAGCCGCCCTGTATTGTTACAATCTCTCGAATATTTACGAGTATCAGCCTTAAACCCAAAATATAATATAATAAAATTAAAACAAAAACTTATAGCTTTATAACCTACCAAAATGCGAGTTCAAACAAACATTTTACGAGTATCACCTGTTAACATTGATTCACGATGTCAATCCTTCGCATCTCGCCGATCTGCATACAAATAAACTTAATGCACTCGAGTTTTTATGTGGTTGTGAACAAAGATGATCATGTCTATAATAATTTGACAAACCTGACCTAGCGTCATGTAGCCTTGATCTGATGCGGCTTGAATCAGTATCGAAAATTTGTAGAATAATAATATAGAAGGCTCCAGGAAAAGGCTTCACTTTCAGTTGATTTAAGTCATTGGTGCCATATCTGATATCATAAATTGTTTATATATTAATATACCATCTGCAAATGCAAAATGATACCGGGAGAAGCGAGCGACCAACTTCATTCTCGGTATCATTTTGCATTTGCAGACGGTCATTCAAATTAATATCAACTAGACTATGCTCATCACCAGCTCAGCTGCCCATCTGATTGTGAAACCTTCTATGAGGATACAATATAACCAATCCAGTCGTTGTAACAGCGTGGATCGGAGCGGGGAGACCGAAGGCGCCGCCTTTCGCAAGCTATTGTCCCCCCTAAGTGCTAAGCCGTGTGCGGCACTTTGCGAAAATTAAACAAGTAGTCAAGTTTACGCTATTTTTATAAATAAAAATAAAAAATAATTGTAGCGCGATGCACTACTGGGTCGCGCGCGCATCAAATAATGCATTAATAAAGCATCAAATAATGCATTAATAAAGCATCAAATAAAGCATTATTTGATGCGCGCGCGACCCAGTAGTGCATCAGTTTTGTATATTATTTTGTATATAATATTGTTGACATACGTTGCATGCCACTTTTCGCGCCGAAACATGTATCAACGCATTATCATGTTTGGCATCGTCAATCAAAATTTTAGTCAACATTTATTAGTGTCTCTTCAGTCACTCACGCTTTTGGCTTTTACTAATTCTCTCGCCCAAACCATGCCAACAGTGACAACTTTTGCGCGTATAATTTATAATTTATGATTATGAACATAAATATAATGGCCTGAGGTCCCTTGTCATACGTTGTATGACCCGCCGCGCACGGCTCCCCCTGTATCGTCAGGGCCATAGTGAAACGACCGTAGTGAAACGACCGCGGGGGTCGCAACGTGATACAAGAGGTCCCCAGGTAATAACCAAGATGTAATTAGATCGAACGCAGAAATTAGATCGAACGCAGGAATTAGATCGAACGCCGGCGCGGCTTTCAATGTATTTATGAATATATCTCGCGCCGGCGTTCGATCTAATTTCTGCGTTCGATCTAATTACATCTTGGTTACAGTAACATTTAAGAGGTTAATCTACCAGCGACGTTTCGGGCCGAACCCCTTCCCTTTCAAATCATCGGGCTCATAGTCATATTATTTCGCTCACCCACAAATCATCACGTTACTTTAGATTTTATGGTTTTGCAGCCGAACAAAACGGTTTTACATAAACGCGTACAGCTTCTAATTTGAAATAGCAAAAAAAAACAGCTATCTAATTGAAAACAACAAATAATATTATGATTCTGCACAGAACGGAAATTTCGGATAAAGAATGAATAAAATAATTTGCAATTAATTGTTTATGAAACGTCGATGTTTTTAAAATTACATTTTGTCAACTGTCAGAAAATGACGATCGAATTGTTATTTAAAATGTTAAATATTTCACGTAACCAATTCATGATCAGGGTTGCCAGCATTTTTGAGAGTCATTTTTAAGGTTTTTTCACGTCTTTTAAGGCCCCTTTTGACCCATTTTTAAGGTCCAAAACAGTTAAATTTAAGGTTTTTTAAGGTTTTCCGCTACAGAAATTGCAATCATATGACATATCTAAAGGGGGAAGGTATAATTTCAGAAAACCCCAATTAGATCTACAACAAGCTAGGTATAATTTCAGAAAAACCCAATTAGATCTACAACAAGCTAGGTATAATTTCAGAAAAACCCAATTAGATCTACAACAAGCTAGGTATAATTTCAGAAAAACCCAATTAGATCTACAACAAGCTAGGTATAATTTCAGAAAAACCCAATTAGATCTACAACAAGCTAGGTATAATTTCAGAAAAACCCAATTAGATCTACAACAAGCTAGGTATAATTTCAGAAAAACGCAATTAGATCTACAACAAGCTAGGTATAATTTCAGAAAAACCCAATTAGATCTACATCGAGCTAGGTATAATTTCAGAAAATCTTATCAGGTCTACACCGAGCTAGGTATAATTTCAGAAAATCTTATCAGATCTACATCAAGCTAGGTATAATTTCAGAAAATTTTACTAATCCGGAAAATCCATTTAGATCTACATCAAGCTAGGTATAATTTAGGTATGGAACCCGAAAATTTGCCCGTTTTTCACGTCTTTTTTAAGGTTTTTTGCCCAAAATTGCCGTTTTTAAGGTTTTTAAGGTTTTTAAAGGTTTTTAAGGTCCCCCGGCAACCCTGTTCATGATTACAGATAAATGCAACAAAATTTATTTAATCTATTTCTGATCTTAAAACTCCGGTTGAACGTAAATTAAAAGTTATGTCAAAATAAATACTCTGCATTTACTTAAATCATAAACAAACTTATCACAATTTAAAACATAACGAAAAACTGATTTTCAGATTTCGTATACAAAAAAATGCATGCCTCGTCAACAAGGTTTGAAATCATTCTTGTACTCCTGGAACAAATACCGCGAAACATGCTCGCTACCCAGTGGTGAAAATCGAACACTATATGTGGCTATCACCGCAAAAAAAATCAACAGTCTCCATTTTTTACGAATATACATTTAGATCTCATAGAAAGGGCAGGAACTAATTCTAACCAAAGAGAAGAGAGTAAACTTCACAGCTGAATAAAAAGGAGCCATGAACCGTAATTAAATTTCTTTAAAGGACTGATTCTTGTCTCTGTGGTAAGTAAGGGGAGTTCTGGCACGGTGTTCCTGCTCAAAGTTTCAAGAGGAGTGCCGTGTCATCTGCATCAGCATTCAGCTCAATGTTTTAAGAGAAGTGCCGTGTCATCTGTTTCAGCATTCAACTCAATGTTTTAAGAGAAGTGCCGTGTCATCTGTTTCAGCATTCAGCTCAATGTTTTAAGAGAAGTGCCGTGTCATCTGCCTCCGATCCAGAGTCCTCCTCGAACTGTATCTTCTCTATCATCTCCAGGACATCTCTGCTTTGTGACGTCACTTCCTCTTTTTTTCCTCTGATCTCCATTCGGAACGCACTGTCGCTCTGAAAAAGGTGAGTTCAGGATGATAAACTTGCTTGGAGGTAAAACTGATTATCTACTCTATACTGCCATGCCTAGTTAAACCTAGTTAAAGTTAAATAACACAAATGAGCATTGAGCTTCACTGTAGCACCCAAACAGACTTAACAGAGCGCAAAATAAGATGAAATAAGATATAAAGGTGTACGTCAAGTTAACCAGAATACCTTGTTCTTGTTGATATTCTGTATTTCTCTGTAGATCGGTATTTGTCTTTGCACGTGCTCCTGCGCGGTTATGTCCGCTGCTGGTAACTTTGGAGACCGCACACCACGTGACGAACTGCCCCGCCCCTAGAAGTGATTAAATAATTAACTTATTAACTGATTAAAATGGCGCTACAAGCCTCTCCGTGAATACAAAATACTAAATATGATTAAATAGAGTGAACTATTTTACAACTTACTGATTTGTTGTTCTGTTTTGCTCGTGCTTTCAAGCAGTAATAGACGTTGAAACTGATACTTATCAGACACAGAGCGACCAAGCCGATCAGAACTGCCAGAATTCCTAGCTCCCTGTAATGTTGAAACTTAATAAAACAAAATTACAAAATACAGTTAACCTTTTCTTTGTCAAAGACTTTGGGAAAAGTTACGTGATCTGATAACTGGTTTTTGATTGGAAAATATCGTCGCCTATAATAAATCACACGGTTAAACTATTGTTTTATGTACACTGTAATTGCACAAGTTTTACTAACAGCAAAATCCGTTTTAATTGAAGAAATTTGATGGCAGAATAGGATGTGGCACATAATTCAAATAGTATTGTATTAAAATAGAGGATATTGATTTGAACACCTAAAAACAGGTAGCAGCTCTCCTAAGGGCGTGTTTTAATGTACGTTGCTGACTATAATCTATTATGATTCCAGCATTCTGTATTATCCCAACTCTTTTGAACAAGACAATTAAGAATGATCAAGAGATTGAGAATTAAATCGCAAATCGTGGCCAACTGTATGATATCACGTACTGTATACTGGCAGACAATTGAGTAATCAAATACCGTTACTAAACTAGTGTACCGTTTAAGGGATAATGAATCACATGTATAATGTTGATTTTATTATGTGGGAAATCTTTTCTTTTTATTTGATGCAACTTTAAGTTTGAAGCAGTCCGATTGTTTAACACATTATCAAGTCAAGCAAAGAATGAATCTAGACAGTAGACTGATGATAGAGTACGAGATGTTGCGTCGCAACAACGACTCAGAACCAGAGACCAGCGCTTTGACGGATCAGGAAATACAGGAACTAAAAGTAAAATGGGTGAAATTACTAGAGTCGGACCACAAAGAGTTGTTCGCGAGGATAAAAGCACGCGATCACACCCAAGTAGAGAAGATTTTAGCTGAGAAAGGCACCAAAGTGGAAATCATCCCGAAACTAGGGTGTCCACCGATACACTACTCAAAACTAAACATATCTAACAAAGAGGATGAAATGAGAGAAAGTCCACTGATCATGGCAGCAAGAGTTGACCGTAGGATGGTTGAGATAATCCTTAAATATGGTGGGAATCCAAATCAAGGTAACGATAAGGAGAACCCGCTAAGCGTAGCGGCTAACAGATACGACAGAGAAACGATAACCACTCTTCTCCGAGCGGGAGGTAGTCTCGAGGATGCTGTTTTGAAGTTGACATTACCTCTGAGACATGTATCTGAGAAGCAGATGAAGGAGAATAGTGAGGCGGGCTATTGTGTTAAACCTCTGACAGTCCTGTTGACTGACGATGTTTACTTAAAGTGCAGGTTCCCGATTAAGACAGCCTTTAAAGTCTGTAAAGATATTAAGAAGATAAGAAAGGTAAGGAATGAGTTTGAGATAGAGTTCGAGCTGCTGATGCAGGAGGCGGATACTTTTGCGTACGAATTTCTCGACCAATGTGATAAGATGACGGAAGCTAAAGAAATCTTATCTTATCCAGTGAATTTACTGAAAATGGCCATCAATCAGAAAAAGAAGCAATTTGTGTCTCATCCATTTAGTCAACAGCTAATAAATGAACGCTGGAATGGAGATTTGAACAACACGCTTCTTCGTGGTAAAACCATCATAGCTTTGAAGTACACCACAAGCCCGATAACGCTACCTTTGCTCTTTTTGAAGTTTATCCTGTTTGATCTTCCCAGAAGAATCAAGTTCATGAAGTCTGATTTCACAAAACTCTTAAAGTTGACATTCACTCCATGCTTGTGCTTCATCACAGACGCACTGAACTATTTGACTTTCCTGGCGATAGTGGTATGCGTCTGTTTATTTCCTTCAGATGGGAAATACCATCTTGGTACTTTAGACTACCTGCTATATTACTGCGTTCTCGCGCGCATTATCAATGAAATTGATTTCCTCGTGCAGCAAGGTTGGAGAGGGCACTTCCGGAATTTCTGGAACATCGTAGATATAACGATCGTGCTACTGCTATGCGTGGGTGCCATCTTCAAAGGACTTATCCACTACAGAGTTGACAGTCTTCTTATGAAACACGCCAATAACTCAAAAGAAGGTGGGCACATCTATTACAGACAGCTGGAAGAGAACCTGATGCTATCACATCAGGACTCCATGATGGTTAACTACATATACGCGGTCACGGAATTTATCCTGACGCTACGAGTCCTGGGTCTGTTGGAAATATCTAAATCACTTGGTATGATGTTGATTGCTCTTAAGTACCTGGTGATCGATGTTCTCAGATTCGGTATCATATTGCTAACAGTCATATTCGGGACATCCATAGCGATTTACTCCATGACGATAAGCATTCATCAGTGGAACAAGGAGCTGAAAACATCTGTGGCAACACTGTTTGATGGAGCAGAAAACTACACCTTCTCCCTGCTACCCTACAACAAAGCTCATCCTGAGGGCGAGGTTAAAGGTCCAGATGTTTTTGAGACCTTCTCTGATACGATGAGGAATATAATGTGGTCCACATTTGGCCTTCTTGATGTTGTGGTTGGTTATCTTCGTTTCTTTACCCGAATTTCGCTTTTTATTTCGCTTTTTCGCTAATTAAACATCAATTATTCACTTACAATTCATATTAATTTCTTCAGAATGTGGCAGTGGAACACGAAAAAGCAACAAAAGACTTCATCAACATCATTCTTATCCTGTACGTTCTCCTATCATGTGTTCTACTGCTGAATATGCTGATAGGAATACTCGGGAGCACCTTTGATAGGATCAAGGAGAATTGTGACATAGAATGGAAGTATGCTCGCAGTCAACGTCTCAAGGAATACAGCAGAGCGCAGCCTCTCCTCTTCCCTTTCTTCACCTTGCTCTTCCCTTTTGTCATCTGGTTCCGGGGGAGGTTGAATGAAGAGAGGAGGAGAGAAAGGGAGATTGGTACCAGTCTCAGGGATGGTACCGAACGAAATAAGCTGATTAATGCTGTTTGTGACAGGTTCGTATTCGCAAATTGGGCTGATTCTAGAGGAAAATTGTTTGATTCCAGAGGAAAAGGGGAAACGTTTGAAATGAGGACGAAGCTTAGAAAGCAGAGCACGGTGCTGATGCAGTTTGGTGGTAAAGGTAGAAACTGATGGATGCCCTGCTTACATTTTGAAAAGTTAACGTCTCAATTTAGAATCGTTCTTTCATTCAATTTTGGTACACAACTGAACATTTGCATTGCGTCGGTGTGCGACTTATTTGGGAATTTATATTTGAGTTTCAATGAAATAATATTTAGAACAGGACTTTTAAACCTAGGTCAGGACAAGCAATAATTAAAAAACTTTATAAAAGTGTTTATATGTGTATAGTGTGTATTTTAAAGTGTTTATATAAATAAAAACTACCTAGTTGTGAGTCCCCCGATGTAATGTGTACTTCCTCTGTAGACCTGGCATGTTTTACCTTGCCAACCTATACTGCACAGACACTCGCCTGAGGAGATAACATTTACACGTCTCTTCAAGCCTTTATCAAAAATGTGAGAATCTTAGATGAAAACATATGAACTATTTACGGGAGATCTGCACTGAATAAAGCACTGAATTTAATCTCACGCAGATCACGTGATATGAAATGTTTCACAGCTGACCTGTTTGAGGATCACATGAGCCGTGTTCTGTGCAATCTATACACGTGTTGTTACAGTTCTGTCCCCAGGTCTTGTTAGGGCAAACTGTCTCACATGTGACTCCTGAAATATGGATTATATTGGATTATGGGATGACGATCTGATTAGATTGTTCTGGTTATTTATCAAATTTTCAGGATATCGCAAATAAAAGGAATAGATATGACGAAGAAAACCGCTGAATTTTGTATCTTCATTACAATAATTGAACAACACATACCTCTCCAGCCAGCAAAACAAGCACATTCTCCAGTCACGTGGTTACACTTGCCATGTGTACTGCAGTCACACGACATTGTACACTGGTTACCATAGTAACCTGCTGGACATGGCACGTGACACGCGTTACCGACCCAACCGTCTCCACAGACACAACCTTCTGATAAATAGAGGTTGTTAACTGTTAAGCTAAGTTATTATACAATTAAGAAAGTCAAATAAAAGGATTTGGGATCAAAAACGCAAGATAAGGTTACAATTCAGAATTGGAGTATTTTTTATTAATAGCAAATATGTTCCAAAAACCTACAATTTACAAGCATATAATAAACATACCCGCAGTACACTTGCCATGACCAGAACAGTCACTATCACATTCCATTGTGTCCTGACAAGAGTCACCATGGTAACCTGGCTCACACGTGCACTTGTTGTTTACACACGTGCCATGTACACACTCGCACACAGAATGTACACAAAGTATGCTGGATAGAAGGTGCTGGCACCTGTACGCTCCACCATCTTCTGCACTGTGTTAAGAGGTGAGTTAGTATTGTGGGTTATGTTAACAGGTGACGCTGTTACTGATATTTGATAAGTTAAATGTTGACATAAGGTGAGGTAAAGTTGTCCAGGACATGAAAATGATTTTAAAGACGTAGCTCGCTTAGTTTTAAAGACTGCTTATTCTGAGATTAAAGGAAATATGCTAGAAATGAATAATGAATAATGAATAATTAAATAAAAGATTAGAAACTAACCAGTGCTCAGAAGGATAGTTAATAACAGTGTCATTGTAAGTGACAGTAGCGCTTCCACCTCCATCCAAGTTTATAGCGTTTAAAAAACCGTGTATTACCAACATATCAGCGAATTCTCGTAGGTTTATTCTGCGGATGAATGAGTTTAGATTGTGAATTGTTATTTTAAAATTTTAACATAATTCTAACATTGTATATAAAATAAAAACATATAAACCGTGAAGAGTTTGACGATAAAAGGTAATATTCCAATCCCAAACTAAACAACTCTTCGCAAAAATACAATTTATCAATATTTAAGAACGCTAACCCACGATTAGAGCCCGTTTTACCCTCCACATGAATATGAAGAACATTCCCGTCCTTATCATGCCCAACAGCTGTCCGGGCGGAGTTAGTGCTGACAAACCTCTCCATGTCACCAGTGGTCTGCAGGTCGTCACATTCCATCGTCATAGCTTCGTCAACGTAGTTCTAGGGAAATAAGGGGGTTAACACGTTAGCTGGGATACAATAACGGATACAAGGGTTATTAGCAAAGCTTTAAAAAAAAAGAGAGATCACTCTGAAGTCAAACTGAAACTTCCCTCGTTTTTAATGCGAATTCCGATTGTAATTGGGTGTTTTACCTAATATTCACCGACCACGCGGCCAACTCCGAACGATAAGATTACAAACCTACCTTTCCATCCCTGACCAGCCAAATGATACCCTGTACCAAGTTAACCCACTCCAGGTTGAGAATGTGATCTTGTGTCAGGTACCCTACAACTATGGTACCGTTACGTAGAATACCAAGGTTGGGGTTCATTATTCCTTTACCTGTGTGGATATTTTATTAATGTGGAGCATGCATACTGTACATACTAGGGGGTTCCAATAGTGAATAGTTTGTTTCATGTTTATGGTGAATTCTCGTTTGACTTTATTGACTTGATACGTGATCATTTACCGTAACCAGTGTGTTACAATATTGTAATTAAATGAACTGAGTGTTTTTAACAACATGATTAATCGTTTCCACAAAGTGTTATCTCTATCAGATGTAAATGTAACTTCATTATATCTTCAAATATGTTGTAACTTTAGCCATGTTAAAAATATGTGCCGTGAGTAGGTATAAAACTATTAATAATTGCAGTGTCAGAACTCAGAAATCGAAGCGTAAGAAGTAAAGGATTGAGCTACTCAAGTGGAAATTATACCAACATTCCAGCCATAGAATTAACAGAATAGTAAAACACAAAAACAGTAGAGTGCTTCGAGATAAGAGCAGTAGAGCCCCTCCCAGATTTTTATGGTGATCGAGTTTCCAAATTGTAAAATGTCACCATTTTTCACCATTCGAACCCCCCTTACATAATCTACATAATCTATAATCTCTAGTTTACGTGATTAAATCCTTCCGACTGCAAAATATCAAAACTTGAAGTTGATAAAAACAAGTGATTATCAAAAATCTCAGGTATAAACGCGAAAGGGGACTTCGTTTAAATAAACTCTCGGTAACCATTAGTAACTATTAGTAACTCTCAGTAACATACCATTGATGACGAGACGACCATCACTGTACATGTTCCCCAGGCAGTTACCAGTAGTCGTGTTAAAGAATCCCCCGTTACTAGCGTAGATACAGTTGTATTGTTTAGCTGACTCTGTTAGGAAATGTTGGGTGGTGGGGTTCGAGGTACAGGATCCTGGGGAAATACGGGGTAATGTAGTTATGCAGGAGCATCTATTAAATAATTAGCAATAATTTAATTAGTAGTATGTAATTAGTAAATTGCTGGAAGTATAGTATTATAAGGACGTTTAAGAAAATACTGCAATTTTATTCACAGAGTGTTAATTTATGCACCCTAAGCTACAAAAAGGCCCAGTTTATAAGTCTCACCAATAATATCAGGTTCGTAGAAAGAGAGTGTGTCACGTGGGTTTGAAACAACAGCCACGTGACCGTAAGCGAACCGGTGAGGGTAGGAGTTGGGAATGTCATCCTCGAATGTCTTGACTTTTAAGGGAGCACCTTGAGTGCTCTGTTCTGCTACCTGGGGTGTTAAGTTAGGTGAGGCTTGGACAGGAGGAGAACGAGATTGTATCAGTATTCAAGATATCCTTGTTAGAAAGAATTTCGTGGGAGAGTGGGATATTAGCACATATCAAAACCTTTAGAATCACGGCCACCCCAGTGCGTGTTTCTAGCTCTACTCCAAAAAAACCAGCTCATATTTTGTCAATTATTTTTACATGGTCACCTCGACTAACTGTTGTTATCAAGGAGAATGGGAAGCTTAAACCCCAAACAAAGCTCTATAACAATACCATCCTACCTTACAACACCTGACAACATTCAGGTAAAGAGTGCCAGGAGAATATTCTTTATTTTCAGACCGTACAAATTACCACGTTAAGATCTGAACTAGCTCACTTCAACCAAGAATTAATGCACGTGTTTGCAACCTGGTCAGGAAAGCTGACGAAGAACAAAGACCGAGGTTCGAGTCGTGGAATAATAAAAACAAAGAACCAGCAGACTAGCCGTTCTAAACAGTGAACATAGGAGTATAATATAATAGTACGTTTCCACCGTAAGATTTGCTGGAAGGATTATAAATAAAAAAACGTGTACAGAATGCTCCGGGTGACTCGCACAGAGAAAGGGATTGAACAAAGACAGAGGTTAGAGGTACAGGTACCCACAAAAAAGCACCACATGTACCCCGCCCAGAACTTAAACAATGCTGTTATTGATGAACGCTAACTGGGCAATAGCCCCGCTCGCTCCAGTCATGCGTTCAATTTTCACTATATAGTCCTCCCATGACCCAGACAATCCCATATTTCTAAGTTTTCCTGTGATATAACTACTTTTAAAGAACACATCCGAAGATGAAGGTCGTGCTGTTGTTGATGTTGGTTGCGATGATGAGACTCGGAGTGACTCAAGAAGGTGGTGAGGGTGAGGAGGAGGGGGAGGAGGATGCGGCTGGTGACAGGATACCCTGTAAGGACGGTTCCACAACAGTCTCCGAAAGGGACTGGTGTGATGGGTACTGCGACTGTAATTCCTGTGAGGATGAGGCAGAATGTGACGGTGGAAGTGGAATCACATCGGTGGAATGGGGTGATATGGCCGCCAAACTTAACGCTAAGCTACCCGGAGGAAAAGTGGCAGTAATGACGCACCATCTTCCCTGGGAGATCGCCTATTTTGTGCAACGTGCTTGGATCTGCATCTTGCACCAATACTGTTAACTGTATCATTTTATTTTACATACATTTAAAATAAAATCAAGAATCGTTTTATTTTGTTCCTACTCAACTTCCATTAAAATGTTTAGATTCACATAAACATGTATCTAGTTCTTGAAATATTCTATGCAGGGTCAACAAAACGGTGTCAACAAATAAAATGATCTACGGTCCGTATATATATGTTATATTTTAAACTTTATGAAATCCCCCCGGCAACGGACCAAAACCTGACCCCTGCAATGTCACCAATTTCAGCTCGCAAATAGAGTTGAAACCTCGCCATTTTTAGCAGGGCTGTAGAAAAAGGATAACATTCTTAGAATTTTTATTCATACATAAAATCCATACTTTTTACGGTACAGAGCTACTGCTAAGTGCTAGATGATGAAGAGAAATTAAAACAAAACTGAATTTTAAAATTTCCTCGAACAAAGCTTTCGACTAGCGGATTGGGGGGGGGGGGGGGGGGCAACCATATTAAAGTATATTAAAATGTAGGATTTTTCCCGATTTTGACCCGGGGATATACTTTAATATACCTACAATATACTTAAATATATCCCTATCTCCTTGGAGGCCTACATCAAAAATTGTCGTCCAAAATAAGCTTGAAATGCAACTCTTAATCGATTCCAAAAAGTTCTTAAAAAAATATTGAAAACTGATGGAGTTATTTCAATTTTAATGAAGTCATTTTGGCTAGTATTCCTAACCGAGATATTATGTGCAATTTTCCCAATTTTGTTCATGGAGGTCTTTTTACTTAGTATCCACTATATTCAACAAACACTGAGTTATATCTTTCACATAGAGTTAGTCTCATTAAAAAATATTAAAATTTTATCGAATTTGGGCAAAAGCGAATTTGGGTAAAAGCGTATGCCCAAATGTGGGCATATTTTTTTAAGCTCATAGCTCAGCCAATTTTTAACCAATCTGGATGGAAATTCATGTACTAGTCCTAAAACAGGCTTATCTTGCGAATCTGAGTGAAAAATATAGTTCATAATGTAAATCTTAACGAAGAATATAAATCTTCTAATTGTAGGTATATTAAAGTATATTAAAATGTAGGATTTTTTCCGATTTTGACCCGGGGATATACTTTAATATACTTTAATATGGTTGCCCCCCCCCCCCCCCGGATTTCTAGTTGTATTATATACTTATTAATATTTTAATATTTTAATCTAGCCATGTGGCGGTTAGTCCCCATATAATACATCGTGGTCCGGTATAATATCCCAAATACCACAACTTAACAATATTATAAAAATCCACAAAATACAACCCTAACCTCGTACTAAACTAATAAAAGGTGTTGTAAGGCTGAAGTTTGGATAAGGGGATAACAAGATTGTAGCAATATTAAGTATAAAAAAGATTCCATGGGGATGTGGGAAGGGCTTTATTTGCACATAATATCATCAACACCCTATAATAAATCACGGCCAACCCATTGCATTCTAGCTCTACTCCAAAAAACCAAAATTATTTCATCAAATATTTAGATTTAGCCAGCTCAGCTCTCTATACTGTTGCCCTGAGAGATAATAGGAAGCAAACAGCTGCTCTTCCACCACTGTTCTCCCTGTTCTACTGAAAACACCTGACCACATCCAGGAAAAGAATGCAGGACAATATTATTTTTTGTTCAAACCATCCAAATTTCCACCTAATACCACTTTTACAACTGAACCAGCTTACTCCAACCAATAATTAATGCACGTGTATTGCCACAAAGACTGAATGTTCGAGTCGTGGAAGAATAAAAACTGACCTAATAAAGAACCAGCTGAACTAACAGAGAGGAGTAGAATGAAAAGCACGTTTTCATTGAGAGCACTGTGAGATTTGTTTGGAAGAGTAGAACTACCAACACGTGCAAATAATGCTCCGGGTGACTCGCACCGAAATATGATCAGGAGGTTGAACAAAGACAGAGGTACCCACAAAAAAGCACCACATGTACCCCGCCCAGAACTCAAACAATGCTGTTATTGATGAACACTAACTGGACAATAGCCCCGCTCGCTCCAGTCATGCGTCCAAATTCACTATATAACTACGTCCTCCCATGACCCAGACAATCCCATATTTCTAAGTTCTCCTGTGATTTAACTACTTTTAAAGAGCACATCCAAAGATGAAGTTCCTGCTGTTGTTGATGTTGGTGGCGATGATAAGACTCGGAGTGACTCAAGCTGATGAAACTGAGGAGGAGGAGAATGATGGGGATGCGGGTGATGACAGGATACCCTGTAAGGACGGTTCCAGAACACTCTACGAAACGGACTGGTGTGATGGGTACTGCGACTGTAATTCCTGTGAGGATGAGGCAGAATGTGACGGTGGAATTGGAATCACATCGGTGGAATGGGGTGATATGGCCGCCAAACTTAACGCTAAGCTACCCGGAGGGAAATTTGGTTTTCAGACTAAAGATCTCCCAATGGTCGTATCCTACGTGATTGGACCTATTCTATATTATGTTCCCCGTGCTTTCGATTGCATCATACACTTTGGTAACTGTTGATAACTTTATTATTTCATTTCTTTAAAATAACATTAAGGATTGTTTTATTTTGTTCACCAAGTTATTAGTTTTTGCTTTTAAATTCACAGAAACATGGTTCTTGAATTAATGTATGCAGACTCAAAGTAGCAATACGGTCTGAACGAATGAAATTAACTCTACACACGTTCCTATTAATTTTCCTTCTCTCTAATTGGAGCCTATTGGAGCAACTACTCGTGCATTCAGAAATCCCTAAACTTAACTCACAACATTCCACACAGTGACAATCTCACATTAAATTCAAAACTAAACAAATAAAACTCTAAAACTAAACTAAGAAAACTCTAAAACTAAACCAATAAAACTCTAAAACTAAACCAATAAAACTCTAAAACAAACCTCAAACGTCTCAGTAAGAGTCTTGTTGTCATGGCACTGCTTCACAAATCTGAGAGATCTGGGTGAACCGTGAGAGGAGGAGGAGGAGTAGGGCGAGAGATCAGAGGGTGTGGTGGGGGGTAGGAGTGTGAGTAGTAGTAACCATACCGTCACATGGTTAAACATCTATCATCCTATTGTTGTAGTTACAGGTGTTACAGGCTCTTAAAAGGTGTTGGAGGTCCATTACAATGTACATATCATATAATTTTATAATTTATGTAATTTTCATCTAAAAGGGGATGAATTGATAATTGGTTGAAATTTACTAAGAAAATTGTCATCTTTGTTAAAAGGGGATGTTAAGACTGATTTTTGAATGGCGATTATTAAATGTGTATTTTTCTTTTACCAATCATCAGCAAACCCCTCAAACGTAACTTAGTTTACCATCGAATTTGCCGACAGTCAATGTGGTACAACCAAGTTGAATGATTGGGCGGTTGTTTATGGGCCGCATAGAATATGTCGAATGTTAATTATTTCTTCTTGCAGCTTGAATGTTGAACAGTGTTGAAAATATTGGAAACTAACATTCGACACTTATTGACTAGAACTGCTGTTTTCTTTAACTATGTGCGTAAGTCACATGTTTCAAATTTTTGAGTTATTTATTCAACCTTTGTTTTTTGTTAGAGAACTGTTCCGGAAAATCTTAAAATTTGGGGGAAGGATAAACTGTTATACATCGGGTGTACGTGTTATTTAAACTTTTGCTTTTAAGCAATAAAACACAAATATGCTAAGTTTGCAAGCTAACCCACGAATAAATAACATACTTTCACATTTAAAAGATCCTAAAGGCTAAAAATCTTCGAGCTGTGCGGCACTGGTTCGACTGACTTAGTCATTCCCGACAGTCACAGTCACACGTGCAAAACTGCACGTGACCTGCGCGCACCACGTGACACATCAAGTGATCTTTACTCGTAGATGTGGACGGAGTTAGACTGGACGTAGCTCTGTACCTCACCTTCCCCGAACCACATTGCAATCTCCTTCTCAGCGTTCTCCACGGAGTCGCTGCCGTGACAGATGTTCTTACCCATATCGATACAGTAGTCTCCTCGGATGCTACCAGGTTTGGAGTTCAGAGGGTTTGTCTCACCCAACATTTGTCGTCCTGAAATAGGAGGTGGTAAAGCTGCTGAAATAGGAGGTAGTAAAGCTGCTGCCAGAGTTAATTGACGGTTGTGATTCAAAATCATCATTTACAAACCCCTATTTACAACTAAAACTCCGATCTTTGACGGTTTTTTCCCTTTCCACGCGGTTCTACTGTTAAAACCGTTAAAAAAGATTTCAATATATACATTGTATAATGTACAGCAATATTTGTGTCTCGGTAGTGCTAAAGTGCTAGTTCCTTCGTATGATCACAGCAAATACTCATTACTCAATAGTCTTATTCGCACACATCACCAAGTCAAAATAAGTGCAGAGAAATTATTTCACGTGTCTGAGATTAATAATTGTGAGTAGGTAAAATATGAAGAATGAGACATTTTAGAATGAGTAATTAGATAAGATTCAATGTATGTAATGTATGTAATGAAATCTAAAAATTTTACGCATTCTCTACAGTTCCAGTAGATACTTGAATCAGTCTGTTTGCCGGCGCGGCGTTCAACAATTTTTTCAACAACAGGAGGAAATCAGCTGCATTTTTTCTCTCGATAAAACAACAGAATAGCAATAATGATTATGCTCTGGATAACTATGTTTTGGTCATTAATGTGGCATATTATTATCAAACACAGAAACTTAAAAAGTATTTAAGCTGTTGGTAAGAAGAAGGGCTTTAGTTTCGGTAACACGATCAATGCACTACAACGCAAACTGACTTTATGAAAATTCAATGCGGTCTACCTTAGAAAATGTCATTGTTTTCTGTCACGTTTCGTAATTTCAAGTTAAGAATAATGACAATTTTAACATTGGACAAGAAAGCTTTTACAATATTTTTAGTTAAGGGGGGGGGGGGGGGGGGGGGGGGGGGGGGGGGGGGGGGGGGGGGGGGGGGGGGGGGGGGGGGGGGGGGGGTTCACCCTGATTTTTTTGTGAAACTCGAGATAGCAGTTGACCAACAAACAAGGACCAGTGACCAAACTTTTGAGGGGGTCCCGGATCCCAACCGCCAAACGGTGCCCGCGGGGCAGCCACGCCCATATTTGGTCCAAATCAGGCCCAATTTAGCCAAATACCCTGAACATGCCCAAAACCCAGATTTTAGGTGCTCTACTTGTAGCTAGTGGTCCCCTGAACTCGTATATGAAGTTTCATCAAGATTGGACAAAAAATGACTGAGTTATGAGCTAAAAACTATATGCTCATATTTGGGCATACGCACCAAATTTGATCGATTTTGGCCCATAAATTGGTCAAATATCAATATTTTTGAATGAAACTAACTTTATACAAAAGGTAAGCCTAAACTACACATTCTCTATGATTATCAGCTCAATATCTACCTAACTGTGGATTCTGTGTTCAAATAATCGCAAAAAATGAACAAAATCGCCCATATCTCAGTTCGCGATATTTGCAAAACTGACTTCGCTCAAAACAATAGAACTCAATAGGGTTTCAATATTTTTTCATGAAATTTTCAGAATCAACGTAGAATTGTCTCATGACCTTAAGTTTTGGGACAGAATTTTGAGTTAGGCCTTTAAAAAAATTTGGCGGCCAAATTCTGAAAAATGCCCGGCAAATTTTAGAATTTGGCCGCCAAATTTTTTTAAAGGCCTAAATAGTTTTTAGCTCATAACTCAGTCATTTTTTGTCCAATCTTGATGAAACTTCATATACGAGTTCAGGGGACCACTAGCTACAAGTAGAGCACCTAAAATCTGGGTTTTGGGCATGTTCAGGGTATTTGGCTAAATTGGGCCTGATTTGGACCAAATATGGGCGTGGCTGCCCCGTGGGCACCGTTTGGCGGTTGGGGTCCGGGACCCCCTCAAAAGTTTGGTCACTGGTCCTAGTTTGTTGGTCAACTGCTATCTCGAAACCAAGTTTCACAAAAAAAATCAGGGTGAACCCCCCCCCCCCCCCCCCCCCCCCCCCCCCCCCCCCCCCCCCCCCCCCTTAAGTTTTGCAAGTCCTGTATTATTATTCCATCTCAGTGGTCTGATATTAAAGTAATTTCACTCCTCGACAACGGCTTTTCGTCCAGAAATTGTGAAATTATTGTCAGTCCTAATTTGCAGGAGCTGACCTTGTTGAAGTTTTCTTTGCGTAATTATTCGTAGTTTATTTTTGTTTGATTCCACTGTTATCTAAAGCGATGTGAACAAGTCTCCTAAAATGTGGATCAGTTTTTTTGTTTTAAAAAAAAATTCCCACAGCTCAGTAGTTAGTTTTTGCTTAAAACACTAAAACTATTATAAGCGATGTGAACCAGTATTCTAAAATGTGGATCAGTTTGACGCTAGTGATTGTTCTTATAGGGATGGGAAACCTGTGCCTTGGATCAACAGGTTTATCTTAATACAAATAGTTCTTAATAAAAAGGATTTACAGATATCACTTGGTTAGCTGGACTTTCGTTAACTCAAGAAGGAGATCACGTCGATTAATATTTTTATAATAAGGGTAGTACACGATACAAATTTTGAAGTACATTTTTATGTATTTATGTTGTAATCGAATGTTTGATATTTACCCACTATATTTCACAGGGTGGATTAGTCCACAATTACAACAGAGCTACAGCCTAGAGTTAAGTCAAACCCTGGAACTAAAGACTACCATGAATCAGGTTGAAGCCCCCATAACCGTTTACTTTATTTTCCCCGAAGAAGAAACTCAGTACATCAACTTCAAATGCACGGATCTTAACTCAAGCAGATGGATCCTCGTGATCACTCGATGCATGACTGACTCGTGGGATGCAGCCCAGCCCCTGAATGGAGTTTCAAGTAACCAGATAAAAGTGTGGCAAATCACCCGAACAGAGACCAGCTTGCTAGTGGAGTGCAATGGTGTGACTGTCCTTCTCTTCAACTTCGCGAGTGACTACAAGAACAGTTTCTCAAGCTGTCATAGCTTGTGGACTAGGCATTCCACAGCGATCAAGTTTAACTGGAGTGGCGGATTGTATAAAAACAACGGGCATTTGTCCATGAGAACAGCTGTAAATCAGGGTATATATTTTGTTAACATTCATTAAGTAATTTTGGTCTACAGCATTGAAATGAAATGAAATGAAATAATGTGCTTGTATACCGCCCATATGGTTTGCAACTGACACAAGTGCCAGGTACTAACCATGTCAGAGCGGTTCTAAAGGGTGAGGTGAAAATATCCAGCAACAAACAACTAAATCATCTCAAAAACAAATCTATTTAGGAAAAATTAAAACTTTAAATATATCATATAGTAATCATAGGAAGCTTTATTGATATATAATACCACACTACGATTAACAATAAACCACCAAAAAACTCTTCAAAAGTAACATAATTTACTTATAGGAATCAAAAGAAGGATTATTAATATGTTAATACACATTGCACTAATAAATAAAGATACACCCTACAACAAATCATAAGACCAAAGAAAAAACAGCACTAATCACATACGGTCATATAAATAATGTTTAAGGGTACCTTTGAAACTGTCTACGTTGCGTAGTGATCGTATCTTCCAGGGAAGTGAGTTCCAAGCAGTTGGTGCGTAGTTGGTGAATCGACGTTGATCAATCTTACTATTTGTAGTTTTAGGAGTCTTTAGTCTGTAACAATCTCCTTCTACTTTTGATCTTGTACTTATACTAGCTATTGTCAATGGGTTTTCAATCACTACAAGATTCTGTATGTAGGCCGGTGCAATCCCATGCACAGCTTTATAAGTTAACAGGCAGACTTTAAAGAAAATCCTTTGGTCAAGAGGAAGGATATGTGCTCTCTTGTAGTAGGGAAGTAGGTCTTCTGATCGGTCTTTGATATTGTAGATGAACCGTATGGCACCATTGAGGGTTGATCTTAGCTTGTTTAGTCGTGTCTTTGGTAGGTTCATGTAAAGAGAATTACAGTAGTCGAGCTTTGATATTACAAGCTGTGTTACCATCATGAGTTTCACTCCTTCATCCAGATAGCGCCCAATCGTCCTTAGATTCATCATTGTCCAGCTGCATTTCTGTTTGACACTATTAATTTGTCTTTCCATGGTAAGAGACTTATCAAACTTTACCCCAAGACTCTTCCAGCTGTCACCTTTACATTCAGTTGGAGTGATAGTTGTGTTTCCGAACTGAATCGTCACCTCCATTTTGCAGTCTTTAAGAACTTTTGATTTGCCTAGGACAAGTAGTTCTGTCTTCGACTCATTGAGTTTCATAAAGTTTCCAACCATCCAATGCTTGATTTCCGAGAGACATCTATTTATCCGATCTTTGACATCTGCAAGTTCGCTTGGGAAGCTTGGATGAAAAGATATGTATAACTGAGAGTCATCCGCATATAGCTGGATGTCTAGTCCAAATTTGGCAGCAATATTCTGAAGGTCTTTAATGTAGAGTATAAACAAGATGGGCCCTAGTAGGGATCCCTGAGGGTCTCCAAAGAGGAGTTCAAGAAGAGACGAGATAGTATCGCCAATCTTTACACAGAAATATCTGCTCTCAAGGTATGATCTCATCCATTGAAGGGCTTTCCCAGTTACACCATAATGCTTGAAAAGTTTCTCAAGGAGGATTTCGTGATCAATAGTGTCGAAAGCTGCACTGAGATCCAGGAGTACCACAGCCACGATGTTACCTGCTTGAATCTCCTTGTTTATGTCGTCAGTCATCCTGACAAGAAGGGTCTCACAGCTGTGCTGTGGGCGGTATCCAGACTGGACAGGGCAGTGAAGGTTGTTTGTGTCCAGATGGTCATTCAACTGGTTCAGTACAATTCTTTCCAGGAGCTTGGATATAGCAGAAAGGTTCGATACTGGTCTATAGTTACTTAAACTGTCAACATCAGCGTTCTCTTTCTTAAGGGTTGGTTTAATAACCAATTCACAAACTCTAAACTAACAAATCTATCTCTGAGATCTATGTAGTCTTTCCTGGTACCCTTTCCTTTGCGCCATGCACGTTCGGCTGCTCTCCTCTTTTGACGTAGCAAACTAAGGTCTAAGTCAAGCCACGGCATGGGTTTCTTCCGAAATTTCTTCTTTATAACAGGACAGTGCTTATCCATGAGTTGAGTAAGGACAGAGTTATACAGTGAAGTCGCTTCTTCAGCAGTCAAAATTGGATCAATAGTTGACAGGTTGGAATTCCTTAGATCATCCTTAAAAATTTCAATGTCTATGGATTTGAAATTTCTGTAGCTCAGAAATTTGCCATTATCATTCTTACTAAGTCGAGTGTCAACATTGAAGAGTACTAGAAAATGGTCTGAGGAAGTTCTTGACTGAACAATGTTAAAATTGCTGATCTTGTTCTCAAGAGACTGGGTAGAGATCACTAGGTCCAGGGTACCGCCCTGATTATGAGTTGGGATTATTGGAACATGTTGTCGGAGGTTGTACTGAGCTAGCAAGTCCAGAAACTTCTTTGGATAGTGTTCATCGGGTCTTTCAACATGAAAATTGAAATCCCCAGTCAAGAGAGGGTTTCCTGGCTTTGCACACAGTATTTTAAGGTATTCTTCAAACTCCTTTAGGAAGTCACATTCTGTGTACCTTGCTTTCTTTGTGTAGGGGGGTCGGTAGATGTTTACTAGTCTCAGCAACTCTGATTCAGCACTCAGAAGTGATTCCATCACTTGAAATGACTTAAACTTGGTCACTTTGGTATTAGGCTTCAGTTCAATCGAACTTCTGTAAACCATTGCTATACCACCTCCACTGCGGTGTTTTCTAGGATCAGAAAGTATGCTCCAGCCACTATCTTTTATCTCAGTGAGTTTTGCTTTGTCGCCATCTCGAAGAAATGTTTCTTGCATAAAACAAATGTCACAGTCTGTTTCCCACAAATGTTCTAAAACACCAACAGTCTTGTTTAAAAGAGATCGGACATTGAAAGTTCCACATCTCAACTTCTTCCTAGTCTCATCTTTTGGTCCTTGACCCTCTGGCGATAGGCGTTTTTTATCTGCTCCGTGCATCCTGCAGTTCTAGACATGACTCGTTCTTTTTCTCTTATAAAGAATGGACAAAGATTATCAGCAGCTTTATGCGTCTTTGCAGCATTTTTCTCTGTGGCACTTTTACTATTAAAGCAGTTAGAACACTTTATCCGATCAGTCCTATTTTTTATCCTGTTTTCACAGTCTTTAGAAGTATGTGCTCCAGCACAGTAGAAACATGTAGGAGAGGCATCTTTTAGCTTGCAGTACTGTGACTTTGCCATATGGCCAAATTGCTGGCAGTGGTAACATTGTACTACATGGAGTCGGTCATATACACGATGTCTTTGTAGGCCCAGGTATATATAGTCACCACATTTTCTGATGACTTCTCTAGCCTCTATGGGCAGTTGAATGACAGCAAATTTTTCTTTGATATCATAGTAGACTACTTTGACATTAGCATCCTTCATACCTGTGTTCTTTTCCAATAGTTCATCAAGGATCTTTTCTTTGCTGTCAAAATCAAGGTGAATGTCAGATATTGTTAGTTTGGGATCTAACTTCTTTGGTTCTACTGACTTTGAATTGACTTTAACTGACTTACACTTTTGTGTCAGCGCTCTTTCCGCTTCTTTCATGTCATCTTCAGTAGTAAAACTCAGCACTGTTGTACCATTACTTACCCGTTCATCTTTAACTCGGACACCTTTAAGAGATTTCTTCACGTCCTTACTATAAACTTCGGTCCATTCATGGTTAGTGATAGTAGTCTCTGTATCATCCTCGTTCACTGGTGACTTGGCTATAGTAATCGTGTGCCTTGCTGGCAGGGGCTTCTCTATTGGGAGGTTAGCTTGCAGGGATTCCGCAGGGGAAATGGCAGCCACTGAAATAGCTTCTTTCAGAAGATCAGGTAGGACTTCACTCAATTGTCTCTTAATTATGTTTTCTAGAGTTTGGCTGTCCTGTTCCGGAAGGGGGACAAGTGAGGTCTTTGCTAGATCAATAGCTCTGGTTGCAATGATGTATAGTTCTTTACAAACCTTGAAAATATGTTCTTTGTTGTTGCTGGTGGGTATATCTGTTAAAATCTTTGCTTCGTGGAGTGTTTTCTTACCTTGAAAGGACTTTTCGTTGATTAGGTCGAGCTCTTCTTCCAGTTTCTTCAAGTCATCCATATCTGCTAATGAAATCAAGGTCCTATACCCAAGATAAGCTGTAAGTTTTTAGAAAAACTTAAACAGCTACAGTAACGTAGATCTGGGTGTGTATGATAAAAACTTAACAATAGAAACCTCAAATTATTTGTTATATAGTAGTGTTGAAAGTATTAATGATATTGTAATAAACACCTATTGTCCGAGATAAGATTTGCCTTATTTATGATCGTCATTATACTTATCACACAGAATGCAGTGAACTACCCCCAATTTGGACCAACATGGCCAGCACTCCAGACTTCCCAGTGCTCAAAGGAGAGGTGATAACAGTGTCTTGTACACTTGGTTACACTCTCACAGGAGATAACCACGTGACCTGTGAATCTGAACAGAGCTTCCGGTACAGTGTTCAGCCTAAAGGTGAGCAAACGTTTCTAATACTTTCTATTAATTATGAATTATTATTAATCACGAAGACTTTATTATTTGCGGTTGTTAAAAGTTACGAAAACCAGTTATCAATATTTCAGGTGACTGCATGACGCTGCCACTAGAGTGGGATGATAACCTAGTTCCTGAACCCCTACTACCCCAACAACACAGAACAGAAGTTACTCTGAAGTGTAGTCCAGGGTTTGTTATCAGAGGAACTCAGCAGACTACTTGTCAGGACGGGATGCTGGAGCTAGATGCTGGGCAACCTCCTTTTTGCATCTCCGGTATGTGACAAAAGAAATTTATTATTGTCTTGGTTATCACAATACACCATAAGGAAAATATAGCAGAAAATATATTCACATTACCATCAAAAATATATCAATGCAATATCATCTACTATTCAGTTAACACACATATTTTCTATAACAAGCAGTATGTATTGCTGGATTATTTATCAAAAGATGATTTCTTTAATTCAGATATCGAGATAATCAGATCTCACGCCTGACTAGAGTTTGATAGAAAATAAGAGGCATATTATCTCACGTATCTCCGCCTCGGCGGTGATTCAGTGTTCTGTATTTCTGTAAGCTCATAAGGCTGAGGTGATCTCCTCTTTTTAGAGGACTATAGACCCTCATGTAGTGCCTAATGATAAAATTAGTCCAGGTCAAAGAGGAGCAAATAAGCAATTATTATGCGAGAGGTTATAGTCTCAAATACCCCAAATCTAATTTGTCATTTAGCTTGATCGCCTTGTCACTTAATCTTCTTGCGATGAGAATGACCTATGCAGCTTGCTTGCAGTGAAACCTCGGTGATCTCCCCTTTTTAGAGAACTATAGACCCTCGTGTAGTGCCTAATAATGTTCAAGCAGAGGTGCCAGGGGTATTTGGGGGTATAACGGGGGGGATGCAACGTCAATTAATGTCAATTAATGTCAATTAATCTAGACACTTATTTTACTTCGGTGTATTCCAACAGCCACAATGTTACACAAGTGCAACCAGCCAATTACAGGAAGCCGAAGGATCTTTTTTGGCCAGTGACGGTTAAGGTAGTGTGTACCATACTTTCTTCGTCCGAGACTTTGCTGCAATGTGCAGCTCCTCATTTAACCCTCACACCCGATTTCTCGAGTATTCGGCTGAGTAGACCGGGGGGCTGCATAGACCACTCATGATCCTTAGCTGAACGTCGACGACGCTCACCCCACGACCAGGCAGTCAGTGGGTTTCGAACTCGCAACCTAACGATTGTAAGACAGGCGTTCTAACCAACTGCGCTACCTGGCCGCTAAAAAATTTCAATTAATGTCAATGTCAGTTTTGCAAAATTTTGGAATACTGACATTAATTGACACGATATTTTTCGACCAGAGATTATGTAGTTCTACCATATTTTTAGCACTTTAGAACGTTTATATCATCAATTTATTCACTACTATCACATATGGAAATGTGAAATGTGAAAAAATTCAGATCATTAAACAATAAAACTAAAATAATACGGTTTTCCGAAATTTATTTTTCTTAAATGGGCGTGGCCATCCAAGGGCGTGGTTCTCAACATAATCAGAACTTAAAACCCACATTAAACGAAATACCTTCATGACATTTATATGTGAATAACGAATCTTAAACAGCTAACATTACTCCTTCATACTAAAAAAGCCGATTCTAGATATTTTACCTGTATAAGAAACCAATAAAATATGGGCGTGGCCGGTGGGGACCGAAGATGTAAGAGTTGGGAGCTGACTTTTTTTTTTGTGGTCTTTGAACCTAAGGATCAACAGATAAGAACATACTCATAATAATTCAAGGACATTTTGTTTTTTTGAACCGGTCTAACTTACATAGACGTGAATATCTTGAATATTTATCGAATAATGATAATCTCAAATTTCAAGACACATTAATGTCAATTAATGTCAATTAATGTCAATTAATGTCAATTAATGTCAATTAATGTCAATGTCAGTTTGGGGTTTTTATGGAATACTGACATTAATTGACGTTGCATCCCCCCCGGTATAACGTCCCGGAGGGTCACCCTGTTCAAGCAGAGGTGCCAGGGGTATTTGGGGTAGAACATCCCGGAGGACCACCCTGTTCAACCAGAGGTGCCAGGGGTATTAGGGGGAATAATGCCCGGAGGGTCACTCTGTTCAGTCATTGTGTGATTCAGCTCTCCGAGTAGACTAGATGAGGTATTATGATACTATAATAACGGGTCTGTCGAACACACGTGTCTTAGTTACAAGGACAGACATAATATCATTAAGACCAGCGTTTAATCACCCGCCTGTTATGTTTCTGCAAATATATGACAATTCGAACACGTGTGTCCTACCTCGAACACGTGTGTCCTGCCTCGAACTGACAAGCTGCAATATCACGGTGCCGAACACCCAAATTACCGTGTCCCTCTGCGGCAAGTTTACCATGACAAGATTGTAAATGGTTACACATAAAGATAGGGAAGGAAGCGTCTATGGAGGCTGCTAAATTTGCATTCTAAGTGAAAGTCTTTACTGTGAGAGGTGGCGCAGATTTCCATGACAAGATTGTGAAAGGTTACATAGTTATTACCGTGGATCCTAAGAGGCTAAGTTGAGCTACGAGATCATTTTGTAGGTAGCTCTCTTGATTCAGGCAGCTGGCTGGCAAGATGCAACGAGCAGTATGTCGTTGGGCTTGCCGACTGCTTTGCTTTGCGATGGGAATATAAACAACCTTTGATTTGCAATGGGAAGATGTACTTGGCTTTACTTCTCAAAGGTTTTTGTTATATTGTGAATTGCCCAACTATAAAATCTTAATTCTATTAAATCTATTTCCCTACCATAAAGTTGCAAAGCCATTATGAAACGGTTTTACGAGATCTTTCAAAAATCCTGAATATCTCGTTTAAATGTATATTGTAACTTTGAAAACGACCATTTATGAACATTAATGACAATGTCAGTATTGAAAAAATAAAAATACTGACATTAATGGTCATGTTTTTTTTTCCAGCACGGAAGTTAGGGCACTGTCTCACCTTGACCCTCATTTTATCTAATATTAGCAACCATAGCTATATTTATAGGTCTTTTATGCAGAGATTTGATTGAGAAAATTATAAGGCTAAGCTTCTTTGGTTAGGTAAATCTTTTAGTGCAGAAGTACTCTAGAGACTTGAAAAATAGGAGAAAATCGAAATGTCTTTAAATACATCAACTGTCCTCGAGACTGTTAGAAGACTTATATCTACTATTATATACAGGGTGGCCCATAAGTGACTACCCACACGCAACCTCTTAATAACTCACGTAATTCGTCTCCAAATTGCACCAAAATTTCAGAGATTATAGATATGGGTCAAACTTAGATTTCCTGAAAGTTTCGTAAGCCACGCCCAATTACAGTGGGCGTGGCGTGACACTCCCTCTTTTTCACTATTGTCTTCATAAAATGAGAACGCTTTAAGCTAAGAACTCAAAAATTTTTGCACACATTTGGCTTGATAATTGAAAACTTTTCCAAAAGTTTCAAGTTCATTGGTTAAAATATGGCTGAGTTATGACCATTTTAAAATCCATCGGATATGTGATCCGAGCACTCAGTCAGTGATATTTGCACTCAATTAGTGATCTCGTCACCCAATCTTATCAAGAGTAAGGCGTTAGCGTGTATTAATGAGGTTCATTAGGCTTTGATTGGATACCGATGATGACTTTGCTAGAAAGGGAAACACAAATTTTTAGGATAAAAACCAGATGTATATATATGGCCTTTATCATAAATACATTATATCAAGATACAAGAAAATGAGAGTCTCCATTTGTGGCCGAAATTTGACCAGAAAAGTCGGTGTCACAAATTGCCTTTCTGCTTTATATACTACAGATTGGCATAAACGATGGTTATTGGTTGCTAATAATTTTGTCAAAATTTAAAATGTCCAACTGTTAGTTGAGGGACTTGCAGAAACGATGCGATTTATTGCGCATTCCTCTATAAAATTGGAATCACATTTCTAAACCCAACGCTTTTGTAAGATTTGTCAAATCAGGAACAAAATTCCACAAAAGGGCTTGGCAAGTCACACTAAGGTGTTACAAAGGGCAGGAACCGAGAGTGCCCATTTTGCCATGGTTTGTCACATTTTGTCAATCTTGTCGTATACTATCATATGGGGTCGTTCACATATTACGTAATCAGCCGAGGGGGGGGGCCAGGGGGGGGTTTTCAAATGCTTACGGTTGATTACGGGGGGGGGGGGGGGGGGGGTTTTGGGTCGTTGATTAGATTACGTAATCAAAATTTTAATTTTTTACCGATTTTCGAAATACCAATTGGACAATTTACTGTATAGTATATGGACACGTTCATTTGAATTTGAGGATATTGGTAAACAAAAATAATAGCGTTTTTGACGATAGTGGCTTAATTTTGACATCTATTAACCTAGCACGTTCAGAAGTTCTGAACATTAGCCACGTAACCCATACTCCCATATGCACCGCTCAGAAAGAAAATCTATTGTTGTTAGGCACTATAATGTTTCAAATGTCACATTTTGTGTGACTTAGTTAACTGCATTTGTCTAATTATCATTCCTTGGTCTGAAATATAGTAAATTAGGTCAATCTAACAATTATGATACAACATTGGTTAATGGGCACGGATCGAACGGTTACAAGGCAATATTTAGGTAACTTTGTCACACTCAT